TGGGTTTGGGTTTGTTGGGTTTTTTTAGTACATGTGCTGCCTCTTAATGTCTGTGTGTCTTGAAGGGCATTCATACATTCATTTATTCATTCATTATTAAACTTCCATCTTCTGGTTTGAACAAAATTCTACCCAGGAACTAACCTATAAAAGAGCTCTGGTGGCTGAGTGGACAAGGAGCTGTGCTTCCAACCCAAAGACAAGCAGTTCTAATCCACCAGCTGTTCTGAGGGAGAAAGAAGGGCAATCGCTTTTGTGCAATCTATAGTCTTTGAAAACCCGCTACAGGGTCACTATGAATGTGTTCTGACTCGATGGCAATGAGTAGAGTAGTAGCTAGTCTGTTTTCATGTTAATGATACAGAGATTTCATGTTGCTCTTTAGTTAACTTTTTGTAGTCAAGCTAATATTTTTTTGTGAAGTGTTGTTTTTCTCTGATAAATCACAAAGCCTTTGTACAGTTGTTCCTGTTTATTCTTAATGCTCTTTTTAATTTTTATTTTATATTGGTTGGCATAAAAGATTCATATTCTTAGTGCTGAAACATGCTTGTGAATAAACTATTCATATACTATGAATAAAAGTTATAAAATCAGTCTAGGGCTTTATTTGCCTTGGTAAGAAATTTTCTTAGAGAAATTTTGAATTTATTGAATGACATATATACATATAAGTGAAATCTCCATTCATGTTGTTATTGTTAGGTGGCATCGAGTTGAGTATGACTCATAGTCACCCTGTGAACAATAGGCCTGACCTTGGTCCTATCCTGCACCGTCCTCTTCATCTCCAGCATACTTAAGCCAATTGCTGGGCCCACTGTGTCAATCTCGGTGAGGGTCTTTTTCCATTTCATTGACCTTTCCAAGCATAATACCCCTTTCCAAGGAACAGCCTTTCCTAGCAACATGCTCAAAATATGAGACAAAGTTTTGCCATCCTTGCCTCCAAGGAGCATTCAGGCTGCACTTTTCCCAAAGCATATGTTTGGGGGGGGGGGTTTGACAGTCCGTAGGATATTCCATGCTTTTCTCCAACACAACTCAAAGGCATCAGTTCTTATTCAGCTCCCAGATGCATAGCAAGTGATTGAAAAGTAGCTTGGTATAATTCACAATTTTAAAAAGAAATGCTCATCCATATAGTCACTGAAAGACACTAGGGATTGTTATCCTAAAGGCTTTGAAGAACAAGAACTATAGGTGTTAACACATTATTGTTATATACATCACAATTCTTAATTTCTCTTGTTCGCTGTAGTGTACTGTTGAGTTGGAACTGACCCATAGCTGACCCTCTGGAGGGTTTTCAGAGGCAGTTAATTGGGTGGGAGGAGGTTGCTCATCTTTCTCCCACGTAGCAGCTGGTAGATTCTGTGTGCCTTGGGGATTGCAGTGCACCTTCTTACCACTAGGCCATCAGAGCTCCCTACATCAGACAGAATTTGGGGTTTCTCTTGGTAGATAACATAAATATGTACACCATGTGCACATATGGGCCATATATGAAGCAGCCATGAAAAGATATGTCTCGGTTAAGAAATTAGTGATAGGGCATTCACAGAGGGAGGAACAAACAAGAATAGCATGGTAATGAGAAATGGATGAAGAAAAGATACTTTTAGGGACAAGTTTGTTCTTTGGCTTAGAAAAAGCAGGAAGTTTATTCAGAATTGTAATGGCCATCTAGCTGATGACTCCTGGCTTCTGTTGTCATGTGTTCGACTGACAGCAAGTCATGTGGATAATGCTCTGATGATGGAGGAGAGAAAAGCTAGAATGAAGAACTTTGCAGACAACAGTAAAGAATTTCAACTTTACCAGGAAAGGTTTTTTTTTTTTAGGTTTCTTGACATTCTTCGGTTTTAGACAACCTTTTGTGATCAGCTCAATGTTTTGAGAAGATAGAAATAATGTGAAAAAAATTTGAAGGTAGAAGCAAAACTAAAGCAGAGGCTCTAGGAGAATTTAATACATTGGGTAATGACATTTGAAAATGTAAAAATGAAGAGATGGAAGAATTAATGATGACAATAGTGTAATTCCCAAATGGTAAGAAGCTTTAGGGGAGAATATTCATCTAGTGAGTCAACAGATATGAATGAGCACCTCTGATGTGTTTTAAGATCTGTGAGAGAACAGTTGAGACCTGAATGAAATGAGACAAGGGTTCTCCTTATTACCTGGGCAGAGAGCATCCTGAAAGTGAAGCCAGTCATAGCTCTGTGCAGCAATGTGCTCCCAGCTTGACCAGGAAGAGAGGAGTGTCAGGAGAGGAGATGTAGAATGTCATCAAGTAGAGCAGGCAGGGTCTCAAAAACTGGGAGAGGATCAGAATTCCCGTTTAGGTGTGATGAAGAGTCACTGGCGTGGCATGGTCTGACAGGAGAGTAGAGCAAGAGGATTACTTAGGTAGCCTTTGAGTCCTTCAGGTGAGGTCGGGTGGCAATCGGCCATTGACTCTCCATTGGCTGCTTTTCAGAAGTAGATCCTTTAGCCCTTCCTTTTAGTCTGTTTTAGTCCGGAAGCTTCACTGAGACCTGTGTCATGTGACAGCAAAATACAACCCTCCCTTGACAGATGGCAGTGGTGGTGTTGAGGTGCTTTGACAAGGACTCAGACCTAGGAAGGTGAAAATTGACCCCTGAGCCACCCGGTGAAGCCTATTGTTGTTGTTGATTGCTGTTGAACATGCTGTTGAACATGACTCATAGCGACCTATGAACAAAAGACCTGAAGCCTTTCTAGAACTATCACCATTTCTCAAAGTTCATCGAGTTTCCAGAGGCATATTGTTTAGGAAGTGGATGCCTCTCCAGGTGAGGCCTAGAGCAATAGTAATGGAGGTAGTCAGACATGGTGAAATGCTAGATATTTTCTTGGAAGTTGGGCTAACAGCATTTGTTTATGAACTAGATATGAGTTGTGAAAGAAGAAAATCAGAGCACTATGCGTGGGGTCCCTACGGTGGACTTGTGTGAGAAAAATTCATTCCATTTCTAGGGACAAGCAGATCCTTTCAGCACCTTCATACGGCTCCATTCCTCCCAGCAGAGGCACCATCGTGCCGGTCACCACAGGCTGGTGAGAGGAGTGGGTGCTGGGCACTCCCGTGACTGGGCATCTTGGGACTATTGTACAAATGAAGAAACCCTGGATGACACCTCAGGTCCTGACCTGGGGGACCAAGTGAACTATAATGCCATTTCAGAATGGAAAGATTAAAAGAGGAAGTAATGGAGTGTGGAAGAAAGTAGCAGGAAGCAAGTTTGGGGCATGAATATGAAATAACCTATTATCCCTGAAGGTGGTATCAGATGTCTGGAGCTGGGGTCAGGCCTGGTCAGGATGCATTTTTAAAATTTGAAGCGATAGCTTGCCAATCACAAGTTGTAGGCTTATATTGGCAATGTGATTTAAAGATGGAGATTGGTGGTCATTCTGCCCAGAGGAATTTATGAAGCCTTTGAGAGAAATGATGTTAAAACACCAGAAGGCTGAAGACTGGTAGTGGGAAATGGGAAGCTGACATGCAAAACAACATAAACAGGAACATCCAACTTCATGAAGACAAGAGTGTGAGTGGGAGGGATGAGAAAATAGGGTTTAGAAAGTTTGTTATTGGACTTTAGAAAGTCGTGTGTGGGAGTATTGTTCAGCAGTTAACAGTGGATGTGAAAGGAATCTGCAGAGGATTAAAATCTGGGAGTGGAAGCAAACATACACATAAATTGAGAACATTCTATACAATTCTGTCATACTCTTCCATTGAGAAAACTGCTCTGGACTGTTAAGAGTTGCAGGCTGCTGACTGGGCGGCGTTAAAGGGTCGTTGAAAGGGAAGCTAGCTGGTGGACTGACGAAGCTGAGGCTTTTTGAAGTGTGATCTGTGTTGTCACCAATAACAATGACCATGTTTTTTAGAATGTGCTCCACTAGTTCAACAGGTTCTGGCATTGTACAACTTTACAAAGCACTTCTTGAATCTTCAGGAAAAGAATAAAACCCGTTGACCCCAGGGCCCCATTTTCATTTCTCTGGAACACATCTGAAAAGGCTGACTCCACAGCAGTGACTGTTCCAGTGCCACTGAGAAGTTGACAGGCTACAGAAAAGGGCATGCTAGAGTAGGAAGGGGTCATGTCCAGAGTGAGATTGTGAGAGCACAGCCCAAGGGGTAGGGACTCTTCGGGTGGACAGCTGGGCGACTTTTCCTTCCTCCATTCAAACTTTGTCATCTTACATTTCGGTCTTAGATCATCATGAATGTTGAAATTTCCAAGGTATGAGACCAAAGTGTGAATTTATCAAGAATTTACAAACACTGTGTAATCAACAGTTTCTCATACTTTAAGGACTTTTCTATGCAACAGACCAAAATTCCAGTAACCATCAGGATTACTGCTTTTTCTTAAGAAACAGGAAAACAAAGTGGTTAACTGTCAGGAGGCACACTCTGATGAACAGCAGGGATTTAGCATTTTGAATTGAGGTAGTAGATGTCCCAATTGGCACTTCGTACTCACTGAACCAAATACCAGCTTTCCATTGAACGACAGCCCTGTTCTATTTACTACCATTTTGCAGATGGTCTCAATATTTTTTCCAGTGAGTGATGAGAACAGTGAATGCTGACAGGGTTTTGACATTGATATACTGTTACTTTTTAATGATGGGAGTTTTTTCTTCAATATGTGAACCTCTTCTCAATAGGAAGAATTTGAAACCATGTTTAATTTCCCGGATTGTGTTTCATAAGTAGTTTCCGTTCGACTCACCCACTTCTCCATGCCTGCTCCCATGTGCCTTGCACTTCTTACTGAATTTCCCCCTCGTATTCATTGTCACACATTCATTTTTTTTATGATAGGCGTGTACTCATTAGTTTTTTCCTTGGGGTCCAGCTGAAGTGTTCTACGTACATGGGAGACCACTCACCAGAAGTCTATTTTATTTGTATATTTCCCGTGTCAGGTGCATGAGCTTTCTTTTCTTCACAGGTAAAGTCAGTGATAAACCTTTTGTTTGCGGCTTACACCGGAGACGTGTCTGCACTCCGAAGGTACATTAACGAGGAGGGGTAGTATGTGGTTTATATTGATGCAGTTGTTTCTAGGCAGGTAGCCTTTTTACATTCCCCATGAATAAAATGATCCAAACAAAATTTACCTTCAACTACTTCCAGTGACTTAGATGTGCTCTCCAATTCTGTCCTTTCTTTCCCTCATCTTGTTTGCTAAAATGTTTTGTCATTAGATGTTCATGTGTTACTGGAATAGGACAGTGCCATCTCAGCTACCAACCACCCTTAACTACCCTGAGGGAAGGGCACAGGGGCGTGAATCCTGTAGACAAGCCATGTGGACCTGGATGTGCAATTGATAGTTCCAACGAGGAAAATGCCTACCGTGAAGTCCTCCCTTTATTTGAAGGGCGGGCTTTTATAGTTCTTAGAAAGAATAGACTGTAAAATCCTTAAAACTAGCAGTTTGTGAAAGCATACAACTTTGGTGTGTGTTTCTGCCCTTCTTAGGCAGAAATAATCATCAGTACACCTGTACCACTATTCTTGTATCAGTAACATATGGAGCCCATGAAATGGCTAATGTTTACTCCCCCCCCCCCCCCCCCGTAAAATCAACACCAGGGGAGCCAGGTGAAATGGCCTTGGACCTGTGTAAATACTCAAAATTCTTGATACAGAGGTGAATGTTTGAATAGGAGCCTGGGTTCGACATTTGAGGGTTCGATTAAGTTTGGTGCCTGAGAGTGGGCCCCATGGTATGCTGGGCCCTTAAGAGTCATCTGATGGGGTAAAGGTTACTAGCACTGACTGCATTTCTTTTACACGATCTGACTGGCTATATCCAAAAACTTCGCAGGTTTGCTCTGTCAGCCATGGACATGGAGCAGCGAGACTATGACTCGAGAACAGCACTCCACGTAGCTGCGGCCGAGGGTAACACTTGAACCACTTTCACACAGTTTTTTCCCAGACTTAATTTCTACTCAGTACTAAAACGCTTGGTTTTGTTTTGGATATAGGTCACGTTGAAGTTGTAAAATTTTTGCTGGAAGCCTGCAAAGTAAATCCTTTCCCCAAGGATAGGTGAGTACTTACCTTCTAATACATAGTTGGCAAGTTATCTTGCCAGTTATAACATCCAAGGGATGATATGCTTAAGTCCATCATCTGTGTATCAGAGACATTCTTGAAGCTGTTAAGGTGACTTACCAGAGGCAACAAACAAAACCTTGTGACATGCTCTCCAATATCCCATTTCTTAGCTGGAAGTGGCCTCATAGTTAGACTTTTTCTGGTTAGTTTGAGTATCAGTCAGTACAGTGTAAAAGGAAAACAATGCCCTATACATGGTAAAAAAGAATTTGTCCTCATGGAGCATTTAACCACAAGATAAACATTTCTCATGGTATATGAGATAAACATTTACAGAACCATATAAAAGTGTAAGAAATGGACTTTGACTGAACTCTAAAATGAGTATACTGGAGTTTTGTGAAATCCCTAGATTTAGGTGGAACTGGTCTTTTAGGGACTCTGTAGAAGCTAAATTTTAATCAGTGCTTTGGGAAGAGAAAAGATTTGAAAGTCACAGGAAGAAGAAATGGGTATTCTGTCTGCGGTGGAGATCTGGTTGGAATGCATTCTGCTTCTCCTCTGGTCCTTTCTGCCTCCTGGTCCACGTGGCAAACTGGATTCACCTTGCTGTAAATGTTGTTCCCAAAGTGACCAGACAAGGGAGGGGTGAGAGTGCACTTTGCTTACACTTAGCAAACTCTGTATGCATTTGGCTGCATGTTATATCCGAACTGGTGAATACAGAGAAAGAAAAGATCAGGAAAATGAAAAGCAAAAATAAATGGTAGGTATGTAGGAGTCTGAAATCATTATTTGAAGTCAGGGAATTGTGTCCAGTTTGCAGCAACTGGATTACTGCCTAGCAGTCAGATCTGTTTACCATCCAAGGCAGCAGCCTCCAAGTCGACTTCATCATACACTCCAAAGGGTTCTCAATGGCTGAATTTTCAGAAGTAGATTGCCAAGCCTTTCTTCTGAGTGCCTCTTAGTTGACTGGAACCTCCAACCTTTTGGAGCACATTAACTGATCTCACCACCCAGGGACTGCTTCTTTTACTAAGCTGTCAGCTTTTAAAGAAAAAAAATGAATTTCATAATTTAGCTGGGAAGAAATGCAGAAAAAGTTCTGAGTGTCTGAAAACTATTAACCTATTTTTGTAAGTATGGTTAACCTTTTATTACTAGTTGTTTAAAAGTATTATGACAAAATTATCTTTTTTGTCAATATTCTTAACATCATGTTAGGTTTCCTACTAGGCTTCTATTCCTGGCTTAAACACATGCTAGAAATATGTACTGTTCTTGGTCTAACGATTGATACACTGCTTGCCCCCCCTAAAACCCAAAACTGGCCTCAAAGTATGTGGGAATAGGGTACCCAACTGGGTTACAAAACAAAGCTAGTAATTTGATTATTGAGTTTTCAAAAATTGTAGAATAGAAACAAGAAATGTAAGATAACCTTTTTATCTATTGCATAGTATTAATGTCTCCTAACATCATAAAACATGCTTGAGCAAAATTATTTTCTTCTCTAATGCTGATTTTTGCCTTATTTCATAGGAGAGCTGTAATAATAAAAAGGCAGCTTGCAGTTAACATTCCATTTTTCCAATGGAAAAATGAAAAGCATCCCTTCCTGTTTCCTGCTTAGGGCATTGACACCTTATACTAGGAAGCCCTACAGAAAAGTGAAAAACATTTAATTCAGCTGGTTTTGAGAAACACAACTCGATTTTAAAAATTTACAAGTTTAACAAACTATCAAAAAAGATTTAAAAATGAGACTGTTTATAAAATCTGCCCGTTTCATACTATGACCTCAGTTAAAAGGGTGCCAGGTGAAGGACAGATGGAAAAACATAATGCCAGGAATGGAAACAAGGAAAAACAGTAGAAGTTAAGAGTGACATGAAAAAGATGGAGTTAAGAAAGACCAGCAGCTCCAAAGAGGGGGATAGGAAGAGAAGCTTCATCCTGTCAAATACTGGGGCTCTAATAACCACAAAGTTTCTTGAGATTGTCAGTTTTATAGTGCGAGCTCTGGTGGACTAGTGGTAAGAAACTGCATTGCAATCCTGAAGGCGTGCGGTTCTGAGGTTTGAATCTACCAGCTGCTCTGTGGGAGAAGAATGGGCAATCTCCTCCCATGCAAACTGCCTCTGAAAGCCTGCAGGAGGGTCTTCTGTGGGGCAGTTCCAACTCAGTGGTACACAACAACATCTCCTCTTAGTGAAGTCTTTCAAAAGGCTGATTAGCTGATGAACAGCTGTGCAGGTCTCATTTGTTCTGTCTCCTTGCACCCTCAGCAGTACTAGAAGTGTACTTATTATGGAACAGTTGGTTGGTTTGTGCAGAAGTCCGGCCAGGACTGCGAGTTCCAGTCTTTACCACTTGATTACAACTTTAGTTCCCGTGTGGCATTTGGCTGATCCTTTTCCTCCCATGTGCACTTGAGCCTTAATGCTGTTGTGCTGTCAAGTCATAACTGACCCATAGCTGACCCTCTGGCGGGTTTTCAGAGGCAGTAAATCATGTAGGAGGAGACTGCCCACCCTTCTCCGCCAGACTCAGTGAGGTCTTGATTATTTCTACACTCCTGAGACTGTAATTTTTTAATTGACAAAATCACATATTTCCCCGCCCCCTCTCAAAGACATCCACTTTCTAAACAGCAGGCCTCCAGAAACTCTATAAACTTTGATAAATGTCTGTAGTTGTAGAGGGGCTTCAAGCCTTTTGTTCATAGGGTTGCAATGAGTCATGCTCAACGTGAAGGCAATCAGCAACTCAAAGGCTAAGGTGGTGGATGTTGGACACTTGATTTAAAAGGTGGACTGGAGCTTTTGCTTAACTAACATTGAAGGATACGAACACAGTCATGGCTAACGCTTACTTTCTGAAGACCCTTCCATAAGCACTTACACATGTAAACAAGACTCTTCCATAGAAGTGTCTCCCTTTCTTCCCATATCCCAACTTGTCTCTGAGACCAGTTTTTGAGTTACAAATCCCTTCTGGAGTTCACTATTACTTTTTTATATGTAATAGTGCTAAAAGGAATTTCTTTTGAGTGAACATTTAACTGCTTTTCTTTTTTTTTCTAATTGTTTTTTTTCAAAATTTTTTTGTGTATACCGTCAAATCATATCTGACAGGTACAGGAGGAGATTGCCCCTCCTTCTCCAGCAGAGCATCTGGTGGATTCAAACCATGTTCCTCTGGGATTGCAGAGCAGAGCTCCCTTAATTGCTTTTCTAATCTTTGGGTACTAGATTCTCTTCTTTGTACAGAAATTACTTAATGACCCCCTCCATGTTGTGCCGCTGCTGCAGGTGGAATAACACCCCCATGGACGAAGCACTGCACTTTGGACACCATGACGTATTTAAAATCCTCCAGGAATACCAAGTCCAGTACACACCTCAAGGAGATTCTGACGAGGGAAAGGAAAACCAAACCGTCCATAAGAATCTTGATGGATTGTTATAACGGTCTCAAGCACTGACCTGTTTCATTTGGGAAATGAGTATGAAGAATGAGCGGGTGCATTTCTACCTGGCAGTGATGTATATTTTACGGCATTTGTCATTTCAGTGTTATCGGTGTTTTCTCCATTGTACGCACAGGACAAATTTGATCTCATTGGGAAAAAATAGAAATAAAACAATCTCCCTCCATAATGTGAGCAATATTTACCTCGTGCATTGTACAGTTTGATGTAAGAGAAATAGTTACCGATGCTAGCTTACCTATGTGCTCTTCATGATTTGTGTGTGTGTGTGTTTTGTGAATCCTCCTTTTACAGTGATGATCTGTTGAGATGCATTTGTAAATTAAGCTCTGTGGTGCAGTCTGTCCCGATGGATCAAGGCTGCTTTTAGAAGCAAATAGTGTGATTTTCCAGAGTTCAAATATAGATTTAGTTTGAGTGAACAATACACACTTAGGACTGTGTGTTTAAAAATGTCTCCTTTCACCCTCCTTCATGACTCTTTAAAGATTCTATTAGTTAACAGCTGTTAGTAAGATAGACCAATTGTGCTTAGACTTTATCAGGGAATCTGTTCCAGATGTTTGGTGACCAAAACACGTGTGAATGTAGTTATATTTCGGAAAGTTTTCCTTTTTCTATACTCCCTTAGTCCAGCCTCTCTTCCCAGACATCTACTTGCCTCTTTCCTTTAGCTGGGAAAGTGGGTGCTGGTATACTATGCAGTTTTCCTGTTTTCCACAGTAAGTCAGAAAATGCCTCACATCTCTGGCATCAGAGCTGTAACTGTATCATTTGTCTATAGAAGATGAAGCAGACACAAATTACACAAATTTCATCAGTACAGTGAAAGCATGTGATACTTTAAGAAATTTTTTTTCCAGTTCCTAGAATAAATTCAGAAATGCTCTACATTACCAAAGTTACTCTGTTGGTATGGGAACTGCTACAGATAATTGTTTCAAAATCTGTCATTAAAAGTCTACACCAAGATACTCTTTCTGGGGACCAGTAGGTAACTCATTTTCTTCTGATTCTTTATTGTGTCATTTTGGTGGGTTCTAACTAAGAGCCCATTTAATTTTAAAGTGAGACTTGTAATAGGTAAAAGGGACTTGAAAAATGGAAGAACAGAATTTGCTTGAAGTTGCACATGTAGTTAGTTTTATCATATCTCAAAGAGACAGAGGTATGTTGATGAGGATTTCTAACTATTCTTTGGGAACAAGAAGCACTTTTTTTCCTCAGATCAAAACTATTTTTTAAAATCTTTGTGGTTTAGTTCAGCGTGCTCTGATTTATCCCATGTTATTTAATGACTGTTTGCTGGTTTCTGTTCTGGCTGTTTGCTGTTGGCTGGTCATAGTGAGTGCATTTGGTTTAAATGCTTGTTGACTGTGCTATTAACTGCTGCCACCAATATAATACTCCAAAGATCGTTTTGTTTGAGTTTTAGGACCATGTGTGCTTTCTGTGTATCATGAGAACTCTGTATGGTCAAGTTAATTTAAAGCTTCATGTATATTTTCCTTTTTGCTACAGACTTATCTTTGGGTGTGACATGCTGTTCCCTGTTTCTACCCCACACTGCCCTTTAGCTGCAAAGCTCAATTAGGATTCAATCATTTGACACTGTTGTCTAGCAGTGACTGGATAACCTGATGATGGATTTAGGTTTGTCCTGGGGATTACACATCTATGAATGTATTTGCTTCCAGAACTTCTCATAAGTGAATCTAGTCTTAAAACCCTCTTAAGTTGTAAGTATTCTGAAATTGGGAAATATTTATTTTAAAATAAATCAGGTAGTGTTGCTCTTTACAGCACAATAAATACATCAAAAAAGCCACCCCTGTGTGGAAAGTTAATGTTCTTAGTGTCTTATCTTCCATCAGTGGGATGGGAACACTGTGGGCCATGTCTAGTTGGTGCAAACCAAGAAATCATTTCTGATGCCTGCTATAAGCCCAGTACCATGTAAAGATATCACGGGGAGGTGACACAGTGAAGGTGAAAATCTGTGAGGAGTTTGCCCTTGAAGGAGAGAAGGTAGACAAACACATTTCTAGTCTCTAGAAGCAAACACTATCTAGTTAGGAAGGGCTCAGGTTATGTTGAATTCCATCATTAAACATGTCCTTCCTTCCACAGGAGTGGTTCTGACTCCTTAACGAGAAGAGAACAATCAACCATTTGAAGCCTCAATATCAATCTGGGGAGTTGAACTCAGTGCTGCCACACTAGAAGCTGAAGTAGACCAGCTGGCAAACCTTACTCCCACCTGTTTCATTTATGTATAGGAATGGCATTCATTTCCAAGAGCAGAAATCTCTGTTAGCAAAACACTTTCATTTCAGGTTTTGTGTTAGTATATGGTTTCCTAACACAGATGAGTTATATAAACACTATGGCTATTTTATTTCATATATCTAAGTTGTCTGCCACCAAGTAATTTGCTATAGAAGTCAACTAGTGTTATGCTCCCTATAATACAGACATTTTAAAACTGGAGAGACCTGAGAAATTCTCCAATCTGATCCCATTCATTTTTATAGGTGGAGCTGAGGTCCAAGAATGGGATATGATGCCAGACTCTTAATCCTGTCCTCTTTGTCTGTATCCTGCAGCATCCTCTATGGATACAATATCTGGCTAAATTCCAATTTGCTAAGACCTTACCTCTGTAGGGTTTTTTAAAGAGAGAAATGCTACAAACAACATGAGTTCTAAAGTATACAGTCAACTCCAGATATACCCATTATATGTACATATACATGTACATGTATTATATGCCTTCATAGGTTAAGAATGTCATCAGTGCAGGGGAAACAAATATATGAATCTCAGGGATTGGAAAAAAACCCCAAGGCATTCTTGCTAAAACATGATCATTCTATTATAGTAGGGAGCTCTGGTGGCCTAGTGGCAAGAAGCTGCACCAAGCCCGAAGGCACGCAGTTTGAATCCACCAGCTGCTCCATGGGAGGGTGGGCAATCTCCCTTTTGATTAACAAACCTGCTGGAGTGTCAGCTGTGGGTCGGTTCTGACTTGATAGTACACAACAACAACAACAATTGTTAATAAGATGAATACAGTCATACACCATAAAGCAGTCAGGAGAGGAGGGCAGTGCCTGAGTGTGTCAAGTGGTACTTAAAAAAAGGCTTTTTGGAAAAAGAGGATCTTACAGGTGGGAAAGATACCATTTACTAAACAAGATTTAAAGAATGAGATGGATTGACACAGCAGCTGTAATAAAGAGCTCAGGCATGGCACACATTAAGAGGACGGCACAGGATAGGGCAAGGTTTCTGCTCTGTTCCCAGGGTTGCTGCAAGTCTTAGGTGACCTGATAGCACGTAAAAACACATTGTGTTTGGGATGAGGACTGGAAAATTAAAGCCACTTCAAAAATGGATGAGAGCTGCACAGAAGTCAACTATGATTCCACTGCTGTTCTGAAGGCTAATGGCACAGCCCAGACCTGACTCCAGGGCACTCAGTGCCCCATCCCTGCTGCTCACTGCTTCTCCAGAGACTCACTATAGAGTCTGCCGGAAGGTGAGCCAGACAACAGTCATAGCAGCAACAAGGATGCCAATACTGCTTCATTCAAGGGCAAGGAAAAGGGAAAAGCAGAAAAGATACCAACCCCCAGGTATTCAAGAGGTATACTATATGGACTCTTAGGCAAGCACTTTAGTTGGATAATGTTATGTGACAGCTTTTTACCTTTTACCCAAATCAGACCCACTCCTTTTGAGTTTAGTCCAACTCATGGGGACCTTTGGTGAGGTTTCTGAAGCTGTAAAACGTTTCTCCCATAGAGTGGCTGGTGGGTTCGCACTGCCAGCCTTTTGGTTAGCAACTCAACTCTTAAACCGACTGTGCAGTCAGAGTTCCTTTCTCCCTTTTACAACTCAAAAAACCTACTGGCATCAAGTCAATTCAGACTCATAGCAACTCTCTTGGGTTTCCAAGGCGATAAACCTTTATGAGAGCACCCCGCCATACTGTTCCCCTGTGGAAAAGCTAGTGGGTGTGAAGCGCCAAGCTTTCAGTGAGCAGCCTGGCTAATGGAACCCCCAGGGCTCCGGTTAGTACTCAGCCACTATCTCAATTCAATTACATTTAAAATTGCTTAAGTATCGGCTTTTCTCTCTCTAATTCAGCAAGCAAATAATTTCTCCATGATTATAACAAACATAGTCTTACTTTTGTTCACCATACTTAGAAGCTAACTTTTATTATCAATCAATCAAAAACTAAATAATATCTTAAAAGACTCTAAAAACAATGTTTTATCTTTCTAAAAAATGGTTCAAGGTCCATTTTTTAAATTATGTTATTTTATATAATAATTATTTCTAGATTTTGGCTATGGATGCTTTACAAAATCTTAAGTTTTATTAAGTTACTGCACTAGATGATGTTGTTAGGTGATGCTGATTCCAACTCTTCGTGACCCAGTATCCAGCCTAAGGAACCACGGCCAAGTCCTGCACCAGCCTCCTAACTATTATGTTTGAGCCCATCTTTGGAACGCCTGTGTCAAAACATCTCATCGCGGGTCCTCCTATTTGCAAGGATACTTTATCATTAATAGTCTTCTCCCAATGACATGAAATCTCATTAATCTCATTTCCAAGGGACATTAGGACTGCATTTCCGATGCAGATTAGTTGTTCTGGCAATCCACAGTATATTAAGTATTTTTCACTAGCACCACAATTCAAAAGCATTAATTATCCTGGTCTTTCTTATTAATCATCCAGCTTTCATATGTACATGAGGTAATTATAAATCCCATGGCCAGGATCGGGCACACTTTAGTTCTTAAGATAACACCTCTGCCTTTAAAGAGGGCGTTTGCAGGAGATTTGATTTTTTGACTGTTGCTTTTGAATGCTGACCTATGAAAAATTAAATCATCCCCAACTTCACTTTTTTTCTTTCATGATGTTCCTTATTCATTTGTAATGGCGTTTATGTTGAGGTGTAGTCCATACTGAAGGCTGTACTATTTGCTCTTCATCAGTAAGTGCTTCAAGGTTTTTTTGCTTCTAGCAAGCAAGGTTGTATCATTTACGTATCAAAGGTTGTTAAAGAATCTTCCTCTAATCCTGATGTATTGTGCTGCTTGAAATATTTGCTCTGAATAAATATGGTGAAAAGATTCAGCCCTGATGCACTTATTTCCTGATTTAATACTATGCACTATCCCCCTGTTTTGAATTATTGCTTCGTAGTCT